TATCCTATCACTCTCATCCTCCTCATCATCATCATCAGCAGCAGCAGCATCATCACAGCATCAGCATCAGCAATCATCATCTCAATCATCATCATCATCATCATCATCCTCATCATCATCATCATCATCATCATCATCATCCATCATCATCATCATCAAAATCATCATCATCATCATCATCATCATCATCATCATCATCATCATCATCATCATCATCATCATCATCATCATCATCATCATTAGCAGCATGTTTAGTATCATCGTCATCATCATCATCATCATCAGCAGCAGCAGCAGCATCAGCATCAGCATCATTAGCATCATCAGCATCATCAGCATCAGCATCATCAGCAGCAGCATCATAATCACCATCAGCATCAGCATCAGCATCAGCATCATCACAATCATCATCATCATCATCATCAGCAGCATCATCATCAACATAATCATCATCGTCATCGTCATCGTCATCATCAGCATCAGCATCAGCATCAGCATCAGCATCATCATCGTCCTCAGCCTCATCCTCATCCTCATCATCCTCCTTCTCATCATCATCCTCAGCATCCTCATCGTCATCATCCTCATCATCCTCCTTCTCCTCCTTCTCCTCATCAACATCACCAGCAGCAGCAGTAGCAGCATCCAGCTCCCCCTCACGCTGCCCCAGAGACCCTCGAGCGGGGCGCGGGGGGCCGGCGCGAGGCACCGGCGCCGTCGCCCCCGCACCCGCCGAGCCTCGCGGCCAGGACCCGCAGGGCGTCCTGGCGCCCGAGGCCGCGGGGGCCGCCGGGTGCACCCTTGCCCAGGTGGCGACCAACCCAAAACGCCCCTATCCTGCTCGGGGTCCGAAGGGAGCGGTGGCCGTGGGTGTGGTCTCGCCCTCCCGCGGGCTGGAAGACATACGCTGCTGAGACGAAGCCAGGGCAGGGACAAACTCGGACAGGGATACACCGGGGATCTAAGAGATGGGGCGGTTCTGGAGGATGTACCGGGCGCCGCGGCCCTCTCAGAACGCTCTGAGAGCGTCCCGGAACGCTCCAGAATGAGTTACCTCTGTCCTAGCTCGGGGGCGCGCAGACATGGATTGGCGATCCATGCATTTGGCGCGCGGTCGCCAAATCCATGGATCGGGGGAGGCGCCCTCTCTAAAATGCGGCTGGCGCCGCCTCGCTCGGAGGCGGAGATCCGCGGGGTTTCACGGAAGCGGGACCCGTCGCTAATCCACGCCCTCTTGATTTAAGTCGGGCCTGTCCCCCTACAGGGGGATTTTCGACGAAAAATAGAAAATGCACCCAAAATAATCCAAAAATAATCCAAAAATAGTCGGGGGACTATTTTTTCAATATTTGTCGACCTTTCTGGTGTATTTTTGGGGTGTTTCTTTATCTTTCGTCGAGAATCCCCATGTAGTGGGACACGCCCGACATAGCCCTTGATCCATGTTTGCGACCGCCCGAACCATGGCCCAGGTCAGCGCAGATCCTGACCAAGCTCCTCTCGAAGCCCGTTACCCCGACCCCTCGCGGGCCCCGTCCTGGCCAGCCCTTCGAGCTGCGCCCAGCCGCTGCACCATCCTGTTAATTCCAGGATGCCCTCTGGTTTTCCATGTTCTCTAGACTTCCCTCCCCCCCTCCGTTCTCCATGACCTCCCCATATCATATGTCGACGCGCAGTTCGTTCCGACGCGCGGCCTCATGTCTTAGGGATAACGCCTCGGCCACCAGGGCAGACTCCGCCTGGGACAGAGCTTGCCGTGGCTTTGCCGTCGTGTGGGTTTCGTCAACTCGGGCGCGTCAAGAACAAACCGCTCGGCGACATATCTTCATGGAAATCAGCGTCGGTTCGTGTTTATGCCTCTTGTTCTTCCATAAACGAAGAGGCATAGCGCAGGAGCATTAGGAGGCGACATCCGAGAGAGCGCGTTTCACGGGCGCTTGCCTTGGGAACATTCGGCGGCGCGTTTCGAACCGCCGGGGGGTGGCCCCCCCCAACACTCGGCGCCGTCGATCAAAACCAGGGGGACTCCCCTCCCACCCAAACCCCCTCCCGAACCCCCCCCCCCCTGCCAAAGGGGGGGGGTACAACCCCCCCCCCCGGCGCCGACGCCGGCGCCGGCGCTGGCGGCCGCCAGCAGCGCCGACAGCGGGGACGCAGCGCGACGATGACCAGAGGCAGCCCAAAGAGGGGGGGGGTCAAAACCTCCCCCCCCCCTGGCGCCGGCGCCGGCGCTGGCGCTGGCGGCGGCCAGCGCCGGCAACGGCGGGGACGCAGCGACGATTACCACCGCTACCACCACCACAACTACCACCACCACCACCGCCTCAACCCACCACCACCACCACCACCAACCCACCACACAACCACCACCACCACCACAGCCACCACCACCACCACCACCACAACCACCACCACCACCACAACTCACCATTACAACCACAACCACCACCACCACAAAAAAACCCACCACCACTACCACAACCACCACCACCACAATCTACCACACCACCACCACCACCGCCACAACCACCACCACTACCAGCAGCACAACCCACCGCCACCACCACAAACCACCACACCACCACCACCACCATCACCGCCACCACGACCACCACCAACTGCACCACCTCCACAAACCACCGCCACCACCACAACCCACCACCACAACCACCCCAAACCACCACCGCACCACCACCCAAACCACCACCCACCACCACCACCACCACCCACCACCACAACCACCACCACTACAACAATCCACCACAAACACCACCACCGCCACCACTACCACCACAACCCACCACCACCACCACCACCAAACCACCACCACCATCGTCCTCGTCGACGCTCCCCGCCGCCGCCGCCTGCCGCCGCAGGCGCTTGCGCTGGCCCAGAAAAGAAAATCGTCGTCCCCGCCGCCGCCGCCAGCCGCCGCCGACGCAGGCGCCGGCCCGAGGAGAGGGAGAGAGGAGAATCAAGGGGGGGGGGGGCTCGAACCCCCCCACTCCGTCACGGGAGGGGGGAGGGGGGGGGGGTGAACCCCCCCCCGCCCACCATCAAGGGGTGGGGGTGGTCCGGTTCCAAACCCCCCCCCTCCAAGCGACCGCAGAACACGCTCTTTCCGACATCCGAACCCTACCTCCACCAACCATCGATTCTCCCGAATCGATGGGAGGCGGGGGTAGGGTTCGGATTTCGCCACGTGTTCGACGAATTCCGAAACCCAAGCCCCGCCGACCGTCGAGTTGCCTGAATCATCGATCGGCGAGTGTAGGCTTCGGATTGTTCCTCCGATCTTCGAGTCGGAAGAGCGGAGAAGCCAGATCCCCTCGCGTCGTGAGACAAAAAAACAAAAACAAAAAACAAAAAACACGACGGGAGGGGTCGGATGTCTTTCGGCCCCTGTGGGCCCTCACCGGGGTCGAATGCCTCTGGGGGTCCACGCTGAAAACATCACGACGTCCAGGTTCTGGGAAGAGGGGCTCGGCGAGTCGGCTCACGCAGCTCGGAGCCTTCCTGCAGCTACTCGCTGCACTCATGCGTGTCGCTGCTGTGCCGAACGTCCGCCGAAATTTCAGTCGACCTCGAGTCGAACCTGAGTCGAGCTGGAGTGGAACAGATCAGCTGGGTGAGCCCCAGGGAGGCCCCTCAAACGAACATCTAAAAGGGAGGATAGCATATGTAGGTCGAGTAGGGGGTCGACTACAGAATTGCTTTACTCAAAAATTGATTTGACCGTCGAATCTACGAGACATTCGTAGAATGCCTCGTAGATTCTAGCACTGGAGGCACCGCCAGGGGGTCCAGCGCAGATTCAAGAAATCCGGAGAACCCTCCAAAGTTTATGTTTATGCCGTTGTTCTTCCTCGAACATTGCTAGAAACGCTAGGGAGGCATTGATAAAGCTTACTTGGGATCGCTGCTGCATTCGTTCGAGTCCACTCTCACAATCTGGCCTGTTCCGAAAACTCTGAGCAAAGAACGATCTTGCGGAGACTCATGTAACGTCTATTTGCTTCTGCTGGCGGAACGGCCCTCGCTTGAAATCAGCCGGCCTCTTGCCACCTTCCGCCAAGAAAGAGATGTCAATTCTTTCGGCCCTCGAAGGCAAGACCATTTCTGGGTCGACTCCCCCTGGCGCTCAGCAGGTTGGACACGATGGGCGCGCAAATGTCAGACCCAACCTGGCGGCAGCCTCGCGCAGCGGGGGCGTGAGGGAGGGGAACACGGAGGCGACAGCTGAAGAAGAAACCCGCTGGGTGCGTCCCCTGCTCCCCCACCCACCTTTCCGTGCAGCATCGCTCCCTGCCCCATCTGTTCCATGCGTTGCTGCACCCCGCCGAACGTTGAAGATGAAGGCCCAAGAATCCGATGTGTTGACCTTGTTCAACACGGGGTCCTCAGAAGTCCCGACTCTCTCCCCAGAGCCGACTTCTTGTCCAGAACAAGTGTGTTGCGTCCCCAGGGCCGAAATGAGTGAAACAGCCTCGCATGTGTTCCGATACGCTGACGAGGTCTAGAGGAGGGGGAACTTCAGCCACGGCAAGCCTGGGCCACAAATGGGTTAGGTTCCCCGGCATAGGCGCAGGCAGCGGCCAGAACAAACTAGAGGCCCACCCGAGCCCAGAGCCGTCCTCGCCCGAACGCCTTAAACGGACCACCCGCCCCGCCCTGCCCGTGGCAGGGGACAGCTGCAAGGCCGAGCGGGCGTGCAGAGGGGGTGCTCGGGGACGCACTGTCCCTGCAAACTCCTGCACGTCCCCCCTCCTCCCACATCCCTCATCCTCCTCCCTCCTCCCTCCTCCCTCCTCCCTCCTCCCTCCTCCATCCCTCCCTCCCCCCCTCCCTCCCTCTCAAGCCATATGGGCTCGAGCACCAAGTCCACACGCCCCCGTGCGCGTGGCATCTTGCTCTTGCCCAGTGGGGGGAGTCGAACCCGCCGTCCTTGAGGACCTGCACATCCTCAGAGGATAGCTGTTTTCGGCTGCGAAAGCAGGGCCATGTCAGGACTGGGACCTCGCCTGTGGAGTAAGTGCGCTAAGTGCGGGACGACCGAGTGGAATGACATTCTGTCTACTCGCAACAATCAGTGTAGCAAATGCAGATACCCAGTCAAGGTCTTCAAGGCCAAACCCAAGAAGGACGCATCGACAGTCGGCAGCCAGGACAATTCTTTGGTGCACGCCAACGGCAGCAAGGGCGACAGCAGTACGGCCAGTGCAGCAGCGAGCGGCGCCGTCCCTGATGACAACCAGCGCATGCTCAGCATGCTCACTCAGCTGATGGCCGACGCCAAGGACATGAGCACGAAGAAGGTTCTCTTAGAACAGATGTCAGCGCTGCGCAGCACTCCCTCTCCGAAGCCTGTTTCCACTGAGGAGTCGGTGAAGCGCGCGGACAGTGCTCTTCGAGATGCTCATGCCAAGCACGACCAATCTGTTCATCAAGTGCTCAAGTTGCGTGACAACTTACACAAGGCAGAGATCAAAGAGGCCGAGGCTGCAATCATTTTGGCACGCGCCGAGGCCGCCAAGAAGTTGGCGATCATCACGCTGGCCAAGGAGTCAGGGGTCCCCGCTGGTGATTCACTCTCGTCCAGTCACGCGGACCTCAAGTCCAACTTGTTCGATTTGCAGTGGGATGAGGAGTTCTTCAGTCGGCTCGACGAGTATGATTGTGAGGAATCAGAACGCATTGAGTTGCGCAAGCTAGAGAGCGAGCTGCAGCAGGCACGTTCCAACCTCAGCGAGCGCAACACCAAGATCACGGAGTGGAAGAATCGCATGGAGCAGCTCAAGCAGACAGTCAACGATCGCATGGGGAAGAAACGCAAGGGGGTCGATGGCACGGCCGAGGCGAGCGGTGGCAGCAGCGACGGCGCCAGCGCAGGGGCCAGCGCCCCCCCGTGCGCCACCCGCGGCCGCGACAGCCCCTTCGGGTGGCGCAGCAGCGGCCGCGGGACCGCCAGTCGCCGCCACCGCTCCGCCAGCCCCCGACGAGACGGCCATCGTCAACGAGGCGAAGCGCATCCCCGAAGCCAAGTTCAAGGCCGCGGAGCTTGCCAAGCAGCAGAAGGAGGCCGTGTCGCAGGAGAGTGTCTCGGGCGGAGCGTGAACCTCCGCCAGCCGAGCCCAAGTCTGCAGCTTCGACATCGGCTTCATCATCAAGTCAGACATTCACTGGTATGTGCACACCCGCGTCTCAGGCGCTGTCTCCTCGCGGTTCAGCTGGGGGAGACGCTGGTGAGCACGGGGACAGTGGCCCTACGTCGACCTCGGCGGCTTCCTTGTCATCAAGTGAGGGTGCTCCAGGAGCGCCTTGCGAGTGTGACGAGCCGTCACCTTTTAGTTCAATTTTGTTCGGCAACGTTTCTTGCTGGGGCGAGCAAGCGTGGAACTTCCTACGGTCACGCCCCGTCAGAGAGGCACATCACTACATGGCTATCGCGGAGACTCATATCTTCGCCAGCCAGCAAGATTGATGGCAAGGCAAGATCCGTGCTAGTAAGTTTAAGTCTTTTTTCAACCCCGTTCGGCCCAAGGACCATCAGCATGAGTCCAGGGGTGCTCGCGGAGAGGGGGGTGAACTGTTTTTGGCCCAGGGTCACAGGCAGGTGCATTCGCTCGGCAGTCCTTCTGAGTTTCCTGAGCTTTGTTCTGGCAGTGATTCGTTTGACGGCTTCGTCCCTGTCGTCATTCATTTTAGTGGCTATTCCCTTGTAGTTATTACCTACTACGGCATTTCTTCCCTCGGTTTCCACGGGGATAACGCTAGGCGGCTCTCTCGGGTTGGGGCCCTTGTTGCCACCTTGCAGCTTCCGTGGATTCTCATAGGGGAGTTCAACATGTCGCCGTTAGAGCTCGCCAAGTGCGGGTTTATAGAGAAAGTAGGTGCATACGTTTTTGTCTCGGATATCGAACACACTTGCGCTACAGGCACGGGCGGATCACATATAGATTTCATGCTGGCTTCTAAGTCGGCTTGTCCTTACGTCCTAGGCCTCTTCCCCATCCTCGACGTGCCTTGGGGCATGCATTGCGGGCTCAGTGTCAGGTTGCGTAGTCAAGGCATGCAGCTTATCACTCGGTCCCTCATGCTCCCTCGTAAGTTGCCGCAGGTCGTCCGCCCTTCGGTCGCCCCTCAGGCTGGGAGCAAATCGCAGTTGGCCAAGAAGTCTAAACAAGAACGCCGCGCCGCTTTCAAGGCCAAATGCGACGAAGCGTGCCACAAGTTTTTGGGGGATCTTCTCGGGCCCTCCCAGGTACAGGTGGATGAGGAGTGCGGTAGCAGCCCCGAGGACCCCACAGACCCTTTTAACTCTCAGGCTCTGGCAGATTGGGACGAAGAGCCTGATCCTTGGGCCCAAGACGTTCAATGGTCTACTAGTGCTTCTGCTGTGCAGTCACCACTCGCGCTTGATGAAAATCCAGGGCCCCCACCTAGTGGCACCGATTTTTTTCGGAGGCTGAGGGGAGGTCCCAGGGCACCGAGCCTGTTGACAGTTCCCCCTCCTTCTCCATCCCCCCCCCCCCCCCCCCCCCCCCCCCCATGTGCGGCAGCAGCAGCGGCGCGAAGTCGGCTACACCCATCAAGATGCTGACGATGTCTGGCCTGTCGTTCGGGAGCCAGGCGCTTACCACATCGGAGGGCCTCGTATCCTTCACATCAGTGGGCTCTATGCGTCTTGGGTTAAGTCTGTCGAAAACTCTGTTCTTGCTCATCATGGGGGAGGGTCGCAGCAGGGCACATCACGAGCTGTCGGTCCGCACCTAGTTCAGCATGTCGTGCACAAAGCTGAGCACCTACGTGAGGTGCCTATCTCCGACTACGTTGCAGCATGGTGGTGTCGCTTGCACACAGTCCTTTTGAGATGTTATCGGCGCCGTTCGCCACAGAACGGTCTACAGCAGATTGCTTCGCTCGCCTCAGTCGCGTTACGCCTTGTCAGCGACATACCAGAAGGGGCCCATTCTATTCTTATTCATGGTAAGCGTAAGTTTACCTGGGAGCGTTGGTTGCACTATCTTCAGGATATCAGCACTATAGATATTAAAATACTTGATGATATGCAAGCACAAGCAGAGAAGATATCGCAACGCGCCAAACGTAGGGCTGTTCAGGCCTCTGTTCGCGACTTCCAGGACTGGATCGTCCAAGAGTCCGCGCTGGGCGCTGTGCATCGCTCCCTTCGTGCCGCTCCTCAGGCTTCCGACGAGCTGTGCGTGGATGGCAAGCGCCTCTTCCACCCGTCGGACATCGTAGATGCCAAAGTGAAGCAGTATCACTCTTTGTGGGCTCCAGAGGAGTTCAACTTCGGAGAGGTTCAGGAGGTTTTTGAGGTCGTCAGGTCCGCTGCTCAAGTTGAAGATCTGGTTCCCCTTTCTGTTCCTCAGCTCCGTGGGGCCCTTAAGAAGATGAAGTCCAAGGCTGGGCTCGGAGTCGATAGGCTTGCGCCCATCGATTTCGAGAGGCTCCCTGACAGCGCTCTGGAAGAACTCTCTGGCATCTACGAGGCCATCGAGGCATCTGTTTCCTGGACGTGGCAATTGCTTGTATGTTCGGGGAGGCTCCTCCCCAAGAAGTCTTCGGGCGACAGGGTCATCGGTATCCTCCCCATGTTTTGTAGGCTCTGGAGCCTCGCTCGGGACGATCTCCCCAAGCAGTGGTCCAGGGGCACCGTCCCCGAGTGGGGCGCCGCCATCGAAGGAAATTCTCCTTTGGTTGAAGTTTTCATGAGGATTCTCGACGCCGAAGTCGCCCACAAGCTAGGTGCTACTTATGCCCACGGCGTGGTCGATATTAAGTCCTTCTACGACACTATTAAGTGGAGTAAACTAGTGCAGGCTGCTCTTCGTCTTGGATTTCCCCCAATTTTACTAGCACTGGAACTCCAAAGTTGTATCTCTGCTCGCGTTCTTTCCCAGCTGGGTGCGCATTCTCTCGGTTTTCAACCCACGCAGAGTATCATGCAGGGATGTCGTAATGGCACCAGATTTGGAAGATGTTTGACGTATTTCATCTTAGAAACCATGACGACGATGCACCCTAGAATGAGTGAGCGGATATGGGTCGATGACCTGTACATGTCCATCATCGCCTCTAAGAAGCAGGCCGAGCTTTCTCTCACCGAATGCATTGCCGACTTAGATGTTTTGTTTAAAGATCAGGAGCTCACCATGGCGTCCAAGTCGGCCGTCTTGAGCTCTGACCACCAGGTCGCCAAGCGCACGGTCCGCAATTTGAAGTCTCGTGGGGTGCAGATGGCGGCTGTTCTGCAGGCTCCCTACTTAGGCATTGACGGCGGTGCTGGCAGACGGCAGGCACGAGCCACTCGGAGGCAAAGAGTTGTCAAAGCCACTAAGCAGAATCATAAGTTGCGTCGTCTTGCCCACACTTCCAAGAGGTATGCCGTCACGAAGAAAGTTGAACTAGCAGGCCCCCAGGCCGGCGCCACCTACGGGGCCCAAGTGTATGGTGTCTTTGGGTCTCTTCTCCTGGGGCTACGCCGTCGTCTTGCTTCTGTGGTTGGGGCCAACAAACGGGGCCGCTGTAATACTTCGGTTTTGGATATTCGGTCTCCAGGTCAAGATCCAGGGGTACGGGTACCCGCCAGTTGTTTACGTCAGTGGTTGCATGCCTGGATTTTTGTTTCCCGTCATGTCGTGCAGGTATCAGGAGAGTCTGGCCCTTGATTTATCAGCACATGCAGCAGTTGAGTCCACACGTGCGCACACGTCATATTCGTGGTCCTGTTTCCGCCCTCGTTCATCAGCTCATGCTTGTGGGGTGGGACCCAGTCTCTCCTGATCAATGGCATGGGCCATCGAGTGACGGCACGCCAGACTTCACGTGGAATTTCAACTCAGCACAGCTGGTCGGCCTCGACCAGACGCGCGGCATGATGCAAGAGTTTATAGACGCCCTCCAGACTCGTCAATGGCATCAGGCCGCCAGCCACTTTTGCGGTGCAGGTTTGGAGGACGGCGCCGACAATCGCAGTCTTCGGTTTCTGCTGCGACAGCTCCAAGATGCTCCTCGGGGGCGCCAACTCGCGGAGTTGTTGCTTAGCATCTCAGTAGGTGGCTCGTGGTTGCAGGCCAGGAAGAAAGGTGAAGGCATTTCCGATTGTGATTTATGTCCTCGATGTCGTGAAAGTGTTGAAACCCCTCTTCATCGCTATTGGCTTTGTCCGAAGAACTGCAACCACGAGGCTTATAGTCAGTCCGAGGGCCTCATTCCTGAGGCGATGTCCCAGGGAGAGGCCAATGCTTGCTTCTGGTTCAGGGGGATCATCCCTCGGCAGTGGACCACGGTCGACCCTCCCACTAGTAGTGAGCAGTGGTCCGTCACTGGGATTGGGGCCCTCGGGGAAGATAGTTTGGGCACTGGGACCTTGCAGGATCCTGTTTACGTGTGTGGAGATGCCTCAGGAGGCCCTGATGGTCGAGACCCTCGGCTGCGACGAGTGGCCCTCGCCATTGTCAGGGTCGACGGCTTTGCTCCTTTCAGCGCTTCCTCCTCCGTCTCGGGCCCCCTCCCAGGTACTCCTCAAACAGTTCCCCGTGGCGAGCTGTATGCTTTCATTATCACGTTACGGTTTACTCGTGGTGTCGTCGTCTACGTTTCAGACAACGAAGAGGTCGTCCGCGGGTTTTGGGATAAGAAGTGGCTGCGGCCACAAGGAGAGATGGCTGATCTATGGCGTCTCGTAGGTGAGCTCATGGCCCAACGTGTCCACGAGCATGTTGTTGTGCTGCAAGTTCCGTCTCATCTTAGCCCTCTCGAGATCTTACGGCGACGGGTTCAAGGGTGGATGGTCTCGGGCAATACTATTGCAGATTTTCTCGCTGGTGAGATGGCTCTTCGTTTCAGAGTTCCCGAAGCTCAGAGGTTCCAGGTTCACGATGTCGAGAGAAAAGCAGCTCTTATCAGAAAACGTTTGATGAGGTCTACGCTGGAAGCGATCGAGGCCGACCGCCTAAGGCAGACTGAAGCTCGGCGTTCTGAGCGTGCTGCTGCTGCTGTTGCGCCCGTTCCCCACCCTCCTCCCCCGCCCCCCCTCCTCCTCCGCCCTCGCCCGCTGCGCTGGCCTTTTCGGGTCCGAGCATCAGCTGGACGACGACGGGCACACCTGCAAGAAGTGCTACAGCAGATGCTCCAAGGCGGGCCGCACCCGCTGGTTAGGCACGCCGTGCCACCCTCTTTTGCCTGCCACAGGGGACTTCCTTCAGCCTCCCCCTCAGAGTCGGGTGCACATAGGTGGAGGATTGGTTTTCCCTGGACATACGATGAGGTTTCATACTAAGCAGCGTGTTTGGATCTGTTTCGAATGTGGTGCCATCGGCCAGCAACAGCTGCGGGCTTTGAGCGCACCATGTAATCCCAGGTCTATAACTAAGAAGCGACGGGAGTACTTGAGTCGCCTTCAGCGCGATCTGGCTCCCAGGTAGTGTGGTCGTCGATATTGCTTCGTAATCGTTCCGAATCCGAATCCGAATCCTCCTCCTCCTTCTCCTTTTCCTTCTTCTCGTCCTCCTTGTCCTCCTCGTCCTCGCAGTCCTCCATTTCCTCCTCCTCATCTTCCTCCCCATCCTCCTCCTCCCCCTCCTGCTCCTGCTCCTCCTCCTCCTCCTCTTCCTCCTCCTACTTCGGCGACGACGGTTCCTCCTACATCCTCCCCTTCTTGGGGCATATGGCGGCTCATCCCGCCCTTTGTTCTTCTGCATGCCCCCCCGCTTCCCTCATAACCTCCACTCCCCTGGGACTCATTTCTGGACGGGCTTGTGGGGATCTTTTTAGGCAGCGGCCGCGGGCGAGCGCGCCGGCGGCGAGTCAGGTCAAAACGGGCTACGCAGAGACTAATTAAGCAAAGGCAGCGCGAACAGGCTACGACTAACGCAGCAAGCCGAGGGCTCACGCGGCGGTCCAGCGGCGGGCGGGTGGCAGGAGAGACGGAAACTGAGTCTAACTGCCAGCGTGCAAGTATGCAGGGCGTCGGAAACACCAAGAACTCGGGATAGACGACGACCAGGGACAACTCCGTAAAGTAAGGCATGATACCGATACTCGAGCAACTCTGTGGGCACCAAGGTGGCCGCGGCCAAAGACCCGCCGGTCGAGGTGGAATTGAAAAATGCAATGGCGAGGCCCTGGACGTCGGCGTGAGCGCGAGAACCAGGGTGGCCCGAAGGACCGTCGGCCAGAGAATTAACACCAGGGGGCGAGCGCGCTGGCAGGCTGCAACTCCCAGGGTGGCTGCGGCCGAGGAACCCCGAGGCAACAGCACGCACGAGTGCGGGAAGCGGCATAGCCGCGACGCAGCCAAAATGGCGTGGGTCACCACGAACCAGTGCGTGAGGTGGCGCCAGGTTGACCCAACACGGGCCCGAACTGGGCAACACGCACCGGGCTGTCACACCAAGTGACGACAAGCGGAAGGCACCACGGGCAAACACAGGCTGGAGTCCAGGGAACCAACCGCACGTGCCGGGAAGGCACTGGACACAGCGATGCCAGGACGGCCGCTAGCCCAGAAGAGAAAAACCGAGATTTGCTGGTGGGGATACTGTTTTTTTTCTGGTCGCGGCCACCAGGCAAGGGTCAGGCGACGAAAGCAAAGTCCGGGGCGCGAGCGAGGCTAATTAGCTACAACAGGCGCACAGACCGGCCGGCCCACTCACGCAGCAGCTGCGGAGCTGAAGGGGCTGACGGCGATGGGGGCATCCTGAGAGCTCGCGCACGTACACAAGACAAAATGTTATGGATTCGGTGCCTGCCATGGCACGACCCACACAATATGAGACGAGAACCGTGATGCCCACGTCCAACGAACTGTGTGGAGGCAGGCGGGAGGCCGATGGAGTGAGTCGCCATGGGGCGCCAGGCTCCAAACGCCGTGGCGACGTGTGCTAGCCAGGTGGGATGAGCTGTGCTGGTGGGGATACGCGAAGCGTCTAGAATTTCGTTCCCTTCGTGCCACGCCCCAGAACGGCAACGCACATCTGGGGCAGCACAACACTTTCACGGATCCTTAAGGCAAACGAAAGTGTTGCTTGCCAACCCTCGAACTCTTCCATGCGATCTCGGAGGTGGGCCTCGCCTCCCACCTGCCCAAACTTTGCCACGAACTAGTCCACATACAGGTTCTTTTTGACAAGCTCTACTGGCAATTCGAAGAACTCCCTCTGCGTTTTCAACACGTTCTGCCAGGACATCGGATTTCCTCGCTGCCACTCCACATGTGCAAACTTCCTTGCGCATGCCATGCAGATCAAAGAAGTCACCGCAATCTCCGCCATTGCACCCGCATAATTCCTCAGACACCGTCTATCGATGGCCAGTTTCGCAAGGGGTGCCCTTTGACTGACTTTATGGGCAAGTGTTTCGTTGTATGCCGGTAAGACTCGACCATCCACGCAATTGCTCACTTCCAAAGACACACGCGCCATGGTGTCTGTGATTTCTCGAGCGCGTGTCGATGTTCCCCAAGTAGATGCTGGCATAGCTCTTCATCGATGTTTCCATGTCAAAAACACTTCTTGAATGCGCAATGTTTCCTCGGCGAGCTCACTGCAGCACGTGATGACAGAGCTTCCTCACACAAGGCTGCCCCGTACCGCGAAACCGCGGGCAACGTCGGCTCGTCCTTCAACTCATCCATCGCCAATCGCTCCAACTATTTCTCCCTTTCCCTTTCTGGGTCATCTGACGCAGTGGCCACGCGGACGCGATACACGTGCGAAGGGACGCCTTCGCCCACATGATCGGGACGGTCTCCTCTGGCCAGCGCTTCCTTTTGGCCAGCCTCATTCCGTCGGACTGCGGCATCATGCGCTTCTTTCCCTACTACGGTGGCCTCTTCGCCACCTTCTCCGTCGATCTTCGAAAAGTTCCTGCCCTCATCTTCATCTGTGCTCCCGGCCTCTCTGCGGCAATCGCACACGACCTCCTTTTCTCCGACACGTTTCTGGCACTTCCGAGGACGCGCGGCTGGGTGGGCGGGAGGTGGCGCCGGAAACGTCGGCTGGTCCACTGTGCGCACACCCTCGTCCCTCGCTTTCGCTTTTCCTAGGGGGCCCGTCTGTTTCCTCAAGGGCGCGGCCTTCCCCCGTCCTCTCTGCAGATGCCGCGGAGATCGTATCCACGTCCGCTGCTTTGCCATTGATGCGCGAACTCTTCGCAGACGTTGAGACAATACTCACAACTGTGGCACTCACACCCACATAGTGGCTGGGTCGGTTACCATGCTAATGTGTTGCGTGACTCCTTAAGCCATGCTACTCGGGAGCAGTGGCGCTGCCGGTGGGATAAGGGGGTGGGGCCCCAGCGCAGCAGCAGGAGCAGCAGCATCAGCAGGAGCAGCAACAGGAGGAGCAGCAGGAACAAGGAGGAGCACGGGAGCAGCACGGGCAGCAGCAGGAGCACCAGCAGAGGAGCAGGGGGAAAGGAGGAGCAGCAGGAGAAGCATCAGAAGAGCAGGAGGAGGAGCAGGAGGAGCGGCAGGAGGAGCAGGAGAGGTCCCCAAGCGTCGATGATGGCCAAAGATTGCCTCGCGAGACACCCGATAGCCCACAGGAAGACCCCCGACGGGCGCCAGAGAAGCACCTCGAGACTTCCAAAGCACCGCAGGAAAGCCAAGAGGCACACCACGAATGCCCAATTCCGCTGACCCCTTGGAGGTACTCGGCGCGTGAGATGGCTGCCCCCTCCCCTGTCGGATCCTCGGGATGACTCCAAAATAAGCTACGAATGCTACGTGACAGAGCCAAGTGAGCTTCAGAAACGGCTTTACGACCAGCTCGCAGTGCGCCATTGCGGCGTGGGATACGCCCCCATGGTTCCCAAAACAACATCAAAAACTACCCAGATGCTCGAAAGACTGCCGCGCACGACCCCGCGAGAGCCTGACAGGCCCAAGCAAAACCCTGCCCCGCCGCCCCCCCTCCCCACTCCAAAACAGAAAGAAAACTTTCCGAGACTTCAAAAGGCTCCTCCGAAGTGCCCCAGACGCACGGCACGTCCGGTATTTGTGCACTACGCGTGATGAGCGTTGCGAGTACTTTCTCTGTCGCTGGCACTTGGATTGACGATCGCGCGATTGCTAGCACACAGAAACCCCAGCAAACGAAACTCAATGGGGTTCCCTGGAGCCCGTGGGATTCCCAGCGCCGACCCCTGGAGTACTCCGACGTCTGAATATCTTCGACTCCAATGCACCAACCACAACGCGGCCCCGAAGGCGCGAACCAATACACGCGGCCGGAAACCCCGAACAACCCCTCAACGAAATAGACTACATCCTGGGCCGGTTGACACTAAGCCCTCCTTGGGGTCGGCGGCAGAGGCGGCAGCCTTAAGATAAACCCTGACACATTCCTGGATGCCGCCCCCTAGGCCTCCAAGCAGCCCCTTGGCAGACGCGGAGGAAGAAGACGAAGCAGCAGCAACTGCACGCAATTAGCGCAACGCAGCGGGAAGCGGCAGGCAACCCATACAGAAATCGGAAGCCGTGCATCTCCTCTCCTGGGGGTCGGCACACATGGCAGAAGCCTCTGGAACAGCAGAACATCGTCCCTTGCGCAGGATCGGAGACTCGTCCTCCCCTGCAGGCCCCTCACCATCACGGACGTGCGCCTCTCCTCACCCTTCAAGATGGCGTCCGGATTGACGTCGAACTTCTGGAACCGCCTCTTGGCGATCGTGGACTGAGCACCGCGGTGAGGAGCAGGCGCGGCGCCAGCCTGCTCCGAGGCGACTCCCGGCATGCCGCCGCGGCCTTTGCGGCAGGGGCTGTCGGGGGCCGCCGCCGGGCGTGCCAGGCCAGGCGGCGCCCGGAGATGCGCGAGGACACTTCCGCGCAGCTCGCGCGTCTGGTCGGTGGCCAGCACAGGGATGGCTCCTCAGGAGGAGGCCAACTGTACGCCTACACTGGCCCTGGCCAATCCCATCCTCGGCCCAGCATCGGCGCATACGCCAGTCCTCCTGGTTTGGCCCAGGAAGGCATATACGCAGCAATTGGTTCCCAAATCAGCCTGACCAGGATCGGTGTAGGTGTACATGGTTGACACCCTCGGACTCCTAGTGCTGGGGTGGCGCAGTCACCAGCAGCCGCGAGGAGTGCTTGTGCGGAGCGAAGATCGTAGAACTCGACGACCACTTGCTCCGCAAACACGTCGACGTGGGCCACCTCCCCAAAATCTTGGAACCCTCCTGTGCAACCTGCCCTCGTGTAGTAGCTGGACAAGTCCACTGCGACGGTGCGGCAGTCGTGGGATGCCGGCGGGACAGGTTCTACGCGGGATGCCGCATGCCGCATCATAAACTGGGCACACCGCACGTCGAAGTACGTCACCAGTACGGTCCCGAGCGTGCCCGCGATGCTGGTGTCGACGCGAGCGATTTCCCCGAACTCCGACAATGCCTGCATGGCCTTCGATCCTACCACATTCCTCTGGCCAGAACTGTCGAATATGCGGACCGTGTTCGACATTCGTGCGGTATGGCTGCACATCGTACGTGGCGACGTGCCCGCGGTGCCCGCCGCCATCGTAGTGAACGCCTTGTCGGAGTCGCTTGGGTCAACGACATGGGACTGAGATGCGCCGCCGTCTCGAGGGGTGTCCCGAGTGAGCTTCTTGCGTGCAGCGCGAGCGCGAACGATCAGCCGGCGCGAAACTCGCTGCCGACGAATTGGGCTCGAGCTGGAGCTGCTCGATGGTCGCCTCTGCCGCTCTGAACTTGAGCTACATATTCCTGATGGCAACATCCGTAGCCTCACGTGCACACTGCCACCCCAACCGCCGCCACGCGCGGTCTAACCGAATGAACGAGAATGCGGAGCACGACGGAGTCGCAGAAACCACACTGATTGGAACCGATATTGCTATGGATCAATGAGGGCCTCTTTCCTGCCCACTAAGACCACCGATCGGTAAGAAGATAAGCTTCCGTGCGATTTTAGCAACAAACAAACAACGGCGTCGCAATGCCAATAATTAGGAAATTGAACACCTGGTCACCGCATGGGAATGTGCACGTGTGCGCGCTCAATTGTTTGCGACAACCCGCTCCTACATTCTAGCCCGATGCCGCTTTGTGTTACAATGGTTGTGCTGTCACGTCACTCCTCCTGCACTTCATTTCCTACTCCCCCCCCCCTTCCCAGTGAAGTCCACGATTGACCATCACATGCTGGGGCCACAATCTTCGAAATACATGTTCTGGCCTGGCCGCGGGCTTAAAACTGAGCCAAGAAACTCGGCCGACGGAGGAGCGACAGGTCAATGATTCGGAACTGTCGGGGACGACGATTCTAGGCGGCCGGGCACTGAGGATTCGACGCGCCCGTGGGGGGGTTGTGCGCACCGCAGGGCCTATGCACACCACATGCTTCGTATATCACAATGCTGTGTACGTGCCAGAACTTTTACATTGCGACGCCTGTGTACATCACCCGGCCCGTGTGCTTCCTGGACAAGCGTGCAACACAAGGCCATGGGCAATACGTGCTCGCCTACACCACGTCCGTAGCCATTTTGGCTCAAGCCATTTTGGCTCAAGCCAATTTTGGCTCAAGGTAGCTTGAAAAGGCTTGAGCGGCGCGCGCGGAGCGCCCGCCGGCCGCGGCGCGCCCGGTGCTTCATGGGGAAGCGGCGTGCCCAGCAGGGGCGCGGCGGGCAAGGGGGATGGTGTGGCCAGGCCCCGGAGCGCTGCCACCACTCCCCCCGGGGTGGTGCTGGGGATGGCTCGCGGTGCCGGTCCCGGAGCCGCCCAAGGCCACCATGGAGCCAGCACCCGGGTGCTGGGCCGTGCGGTCGGGGCCGCCAGCGCCAGAGCCTGCGGCCGCAGAAGGCGGAGCGTCGGCGGCGGTGCCGAGCGCAGCAGGCGTCGGGGGCAGCGCATGGCCGCCTGCGGCGTTCGCGGAGCCTCCGTGGCCGGGCTGGCTCCCCTTCGGAGGGGCGCCGTCGCTCGGGGCCTCGAAGTTCGAGGCACAGCCGCTCGCCCCCAGGGGGCCCAGCGATGGCGGCGCCAGCGAGGCGGGTGCCCACGACGCCGCCGCGCACGGCGCGGGGGCGGGCCAGCAGCCAGGGTCTCCGCTCCCCCGAGGTGCCAGCGTCGCTTCCTCAGCGAGCTGGGAAGGAGGAGGCGGAGGCAGGTGCGGTGGCGGACGTGGAGTACAGCTACTACACCCCGACGTCGGACGCGGACGACGCTCCAGGCGCTGCGGCTCCACCTGCGCTCGCAGTCCCCCCCCCCCTGAAGGAGGAGTCGCCGCCGGCTTCGAGCCAGGCTCCGGTAGCCGGGGCCCCTGGCGACGGCGGGGGCGGCGGCAGCGGGAGCGGCCGCAAGCGGGCGGAGCTGGTCGCGGCGGCCCTGCGGGTCGCCGGACTTCGGGGATACAAGGCCGAGGCAGTCCCCGAGGGCATCCTGCTCCGGTGGGCTCCCTGAAGGAGCCGGCGGATGCGAGCTGGTCCGGCTCGGAGTCGGGTGGCCCTGGCACGTCGTGGCTTGGCTCGGGCAGCCCCCGTGAGCGGTGGGCCGACGTCGACGACGGCGACGCGGATGACGCGGCGCAGCCGGCAGCGCGCCGCGCGGTCGTAGTGGCCACGCCCCCTCGGCAGCAGCCGACGCAGGCCCCGGGCCGCCAGTGCTGCAAAGGCAGCTCTCGCCCGTGGCAGGGTGGCGGCGCGGCCTGCCCCATGGACGAGGGCGAGTTCGACATCGAGGGCGAGTACAACGCCCTCGGCTCTGCTGTCGTTCCCTCCCTCCCTCCTGGGCCGGCCCGGTCGAGGTCGAGGTTGCTCCGGTGGAGGTGGCTCCTCCCGGGCAGGAGGCCGGCGTCACGGCCAACACCGACAACGCCCTCAGCTCTGTCGGTCTTTCCCTCCCTCCTGGGCCCGCTGGCCCGGTCGAGGTCGAGGATGCTCTGGTGGAGGTGGCTCCTCCCGGGCATGCGGCCGGCGTCACGGCCAGCATCGACGATGCCCTCGGTTCCGTCGATCCCTCCCTCCCTCCTGGGGTCGAGGTCGCTCTGGTGGAGGTGGCTCCTCCCGGGCATGCGGCTCCAGTGGAGGTGGCTCCTCCCGGGCATGAGGCGGGCGTCACGGCCAGCATCGAGGAGACGCTGGCGCGGCTCTGCTCTGCCCTCCGCGGGGGGGCCGAGCTTGGCGCCTTGGTCGGACCGCCCCCTGGCGTGGGCGCGGCGGCTGCGAAGGCACCAGCCGAGGAACATCTTGCTGGGGCCAGGGCCGCGGCTGGGTACGAGGTGGCGCTGGCGCGGCTCTGCCTGCAACGGTGGAGCGGCTGGGCCCCGGCTGCCGCAGCTCCTCCCACGGCTCGGCCCGAAGAGGTCGAGACGCGCTGCCCTCCTGGATCCGCTGATCCGGTTGAGGTGCCGTGCGGCCCCCCTCCTGAGGCTCAGTGCTCGGTTGAGGAGACGGGACCGCTCTTTGGCGGGCTGCCGCCGTTGCGCGCTTCAGGGCGCGAGGTAATTAGCGCTTGCGCGGCTGAGCTTGCAGCGGTGGAGCGGGTGGGCCCCTGCCTCCGCGACGCCTCTCCCACCGGCTCGGCCCGAAGAGGTCGAGCCGACCTGCCCTCCCAGAGCCGCCGATCTGGTCGAGGTGCCGCGCAGCCCGATGGAGGCGTCGGAGGCTGGGCCAGCCCTCGCGCGCTCCCTCGGCCTGGATGCGCCCCTCCCTCCCGGGCCAGGCCCGGTGGAGGTCGAGGCGGCCGGCTCCCCGCTGGGGCTGGCCGAGGCCGCGGAGCCGCCCGCCCCCCCTCCCGGGCCAGGCCCGGTGGAGGACGTGCCGCGCGGTGCGGAGGCCGCGGAGGCGGCGGCTCGTGTTCACCACATGGCGTTGGTGAGCGCGCTGGTCCGGGCAGGCGGACGGCCGGCCGAGGAGGCGCTGGCGGCCTTGCTGCGGGCCCCCACGGGGGGGAAGCGGCGGCAATTGCAGCGCCGACTGGACGTCGCGCTGCGCCAGCTCTTTGGCCCAGCCCTCGCCGAGCTGATGGGCCAGATGGCTGCCGGCATCTCCGCCGCTGCCAGGCGGAGGTAGGCGTGGTTGCCCGCCGGCCGCGGCCGCGGCGGTGCCGCCGCGGCGCCCTCGGGTGAGTGCGGGGCAGCGCCAGCGCGGGCGCCCCCTGCCTGCCCTCCCCCTCTTCCCCTCCCTCCCCCCCTTCTTCTGCGCCGCCTCTTTTTCGTTCGTCTTTCGTCCGTCGCTCGTCTGTCGTGTCGTGCCACTGAGCTCCGTCTGCGCTGGCAAAAAAAAGTGCTCGCCTACACCACGGGGCCTGCGTGCATCACAGGGCCTGTGTATGCAAATGACCGTCGCGCTGCCAATGCACACAACAAGGACTGTGTGCATCACAAGGGCTCCCTACAACGTCACACGCCAGCGTAACCATCCCACATGCTCGCGCGCGCTCGCACACGAGCCCTGGCGTGGCCCCTTCGGGGGGTGGGACACTTACAGTAATAGCTGCTTTGACTACATATTCGAAGCGACGGAACGCCGGGGCCGTACTTGCATACATGCGCTCACAAGCGTCTGCACGGGCCCACAGGCGCTGTCAGTTCTGCACGGAAGGTTGGAGGCCTCGCGGACTCCAGCAAGCGCTCTGATCGGGGAGCTCGCAAACGCTCGCAAGCAATCACAACTCAACACTGGCGTTGACAGGCGATCACAAACGCTCGCTGACAGGCGTGCGCACGTCATCGCAGATGCTTGGGCAGACGCTGACGGGTGCTCCCATGCGCTTGCAAGCGCAACGATGCTCCCTCCCCCTCTGACTCATCCTGCTCCTTCTCTGTGCGCCTTTCCCCATGGTGAGACAGATTGGAAACCCGCGTGGTGCGCGCTCATGGCCCCCTTGGGCTTTCAGCTCACAAGGGCAGCTTACGGTGAGGCACTTGCGCTAGTCCACAAGAAACCCCTCGCAAGAAACCCAACCCTGAAAATCGCCAAAACTTCTTGGGCCAGGGTTGGGATTCTGGCTTCACGGCTGCCAGCGAAGAAACTCCGGGGACCCTGGGCCGCGGTTTATGCATGGCTCGCCCGAAACATCTTCGCGCCAAAACAATCGGGGTACCCTGCCGGCTGCATTTCCTTGGCGACCGCCGCAAGCCTTCAATCCGAACACACGCCAACGAAACCCAAGGTACCCTGGCAAAACGTATGGTATGGTGCTTCTTGACATGGGCTCCCACTGCAGCGTGTCGCGGCGGCGGGGCCCCTGCGACGCGCAGAACCTTGCGAGCTCGTAGCGTGCCGGTTCGTCCCGCGGGGCGGGAAGCCGGGATCGGGAACGTTGCCGTTGGAGGCCTTGGGGCATGCTTAGCGCGTCGAGCACGAAGCGTGGTGGGCCAGAACTGGCGGCGCGACACGCTAAGCTTCGGGCATGTCCCCCTACAGGCGGATGTCGGAAGAACAATAAGAGATAGACAACACATGTTCAACAATAGTTAAACAATCATAACAAATGCCCGCATACTATTGCTCGAACTATTTCTTCCCCTTGTAGAGGGACGTGCCCGACTTAACGCTAAACAGACGCGGCATCCGTGGCAGAGGGCGGGACGCAGGAGAATCCATCGCCGCCGCGCTCGCGGCCGCGCCCGCCGATCGAGCAGCGAACTTCGTAGCGAGGCGGACTGGCGCCGCCGCGCGCGCGCGGCGGCGCGGCAGCGCTCTCCCCTCTGCGCGCATGGCAGGCCATGCTGGATATGCGGGAAGCAGCACGTTGGATCAAATGTCGGGGCAGTGC